GTTTAGATCCTTTAGCTTTTGTATGGATTAGCATTTCTTTTTTCTGACAAATTGTTTGCTTTAGTTTTATTGTTTGAGTGATTTGTGCTTGAAGGTTTTTTTGGATTATCATTTTGTATAGAAAATGAACACGACACGACTGAGAAAAACCCAGATCTGGTTTTGAGAGATGAAGAAGAAGGGAGAAGAGAGAGAGAGAGAGAGAGAGAAAGAATAAGAAGAAGAAAGAAGAAGGATGAGCAGGGAAAGGAAGAAGGAAAGAAGGAAGAAGAAAAGAAGGAAGAAGATGAAGTTTGAGAGAGAACCCAGATCCGAGATTTGGGTTTGCAGAGGTAAGGCAAAAGGAAAGGTAAAGGAGAGAGAAAGTGAAAGAGGAAGAAGAGATGACTTGGATGAAAAAAAAAATATCATTAATTTTAAATTAAATAAAAATGCCAATTCATAGGCCAACTATGTTTTTTTTTTTTTCACGTCATTAGTTAAGAGAAAAAAAGAATTGATTTGCTGGCAAGTTAACGTGACACCTGTCATTTAACTAACGGAAGGATTGTTTTGGTACAAAAATGAAAGTTTAAGGATAATTTTGGTATTTTTTAAAGTTGAAGGACAATTTTGATGCCAATGTGAAAAGTTGAGGGACCAAAATAGTACTTAAACCTAAAATGAACCGGTAATCATTTTCATCAATTAAATGCCTGTCCCATTGAATCTGCCAACCCATAACTATGGATTGTTTACCTGATCTTGACGTTCAATTGCCTGCTCATGCTGAAAGGGATTGAGGGTCATTCAATCAATTATAAGGCATGTTGCATTAGTAGCTTAGCTTAGGTTGCATATTTTTTTGTATTATGCAATGCATAAAGCCAGTAAAACTATATCTGATGTTACAGGTTACGGTAAGTGTTGTATGCAGAGAATTGTAGATGCAATTGTTGTAAGCAAGGCAGTTCCAAGAACCTTTCTTAAGGATAATAGTTTTCACCTCTCTATAGGAAACGTTATCCCCAGGATACAATGCCCACTAAAATAAACTTTAATCACCCGACCAGTATACTGAAACTTGAAAAGCAAAGTGCAGAAATTCAAGGAAGAAGATAAGAAAAACTCAAAGTATTTATGGAAGAGTTGATCTATTTTTCCTTGAAACTGTGTTATTTATCTACAATTCCCAACCGGTGGTTTTACACCGGTATAAAACAGATACACCCCTCAAGAAATAACTCTTCGATATCTGATATATTTATATCATATAATATTTCAAACCTTTTGCCCGTTGGAGACGATTTTCTCGAACTTAAATTCAACTTTCAACCTGCAGATAAGGCAGTTACCCAACAGGTTTCAACCACTTCTTATCTTTATTCTTTTCTTTTTCTTCCTTGTCTAACATTGCCCCATGTTTCAAGCCTTTAAACTATATCGCATCACATGGATCCCTTAAAGTAAACAAAGTGAAGTGTATGTATATATAATAATATATATTATAAAATATTATATAAAGTAAATAATAAATATATTATTAGAAAATACCTAATTATAAATATAA